TATATATATAAAGTTAAAGGTAAAGGTAAGACTGTGTTCCTTTTTCCAGAGGAGAAAATGATGATATGCCGTTCGTGTTAGAGGATTAAAGGAGAATACATTAGTACTTGGAAATATGATGTTCAAGCTTATCTAAGAGTATCAGATTCTATAATCCAACAAAGTAAAAGGAGAGCGGAAAATATATGCTGATGCTTGATTCTTTTCTTGGATTGTATGCTACTGAAGTTGATTTGGTGAGAGGGAAATATGAAGGGCGAGGCAGTAGAATGGTAGTGGAAGTTAAAGAATAATAAAATGTTGCTGAATTGCTGATTTTTTCCGTTGGAAACGAGACATTATTCATATTGTAATCCTTCCTTTTATTTTCTCCTACTGTGCTTCTGTGTAAATTCCCTCAGCATCTTGTTGCGGTTACTCAGAGAAAAGCGACAACACTGTGTTAACAGCAACATCTAATCGATATTGCTATTGCATAGTTGAGTAATTTTAACGCGTGCAAGGGATTTTCTTAAGCATGTCCTGGTACAACTGCAGAAGGCATGCTAAGATTCATGGTGGCCGTGTTTTGTGATAACGTATTCTGTTGTTGTGGTGAGAGTTTCATCTTGGGATACATGTTGAATTTCCAACGGCATTGAAGAAGAAGCATATTTCTCGTCACCATATAGGAAAAAAAAGGAATTGAAGTTATATAAATTGATCTTTTGGTACTTGCATAGATCTAACTATTTCTACATTCTATTTTTTTTCCAGGTTGAACATGTGATCCGGGAAGAGAAAACAATGTCTGCATATGAGCTCATCGAGTTGTATTGTGAACTTATTGTGGCACGCTTACCAATTATTGAATCACAAAAGTAAGCAAACCAAACTATTTAATATATTTAGACGCAGTTAAGAGTTGATTCTTCATGCTTTTGTTCGATTATCTACTGGGCTATTTCATTAGCATTATAATTTCATTAGACATTTCCAATTTTCCATTTTAACTTGGCAGATTATCATATAGAATATGTGCATGATACTCCTGATAAATTTGTTCATTAATATTGAGAAAATGTGGGGGGTAGATAATGTGTTGTCATCAGCATTATAATTTGACATATGCTATCCGAATAAAAAGAAATTTCTGGGAATTGAAATTAATTAACAGAAAGAAAAGCTTTTTAACAGTAAAGCAATGGCCAGCAAATAAAAAAATAATAAGAAAATCTGTTGAATTTTTTATTGTTTCTCTCTGGCTAGTTGGATAACTTCTGTCTTTCATTATGTTCTGATGATTATTTCTCTCATTATGTGACATGATTAGAGTTTATAAAGCGAACTCTGGTTATTGTTACAACTATATCTTCTCTACTTGAATTATATACAAACTTGTTTAATTGTATATGAGTCCATCTCCAGGAGCTGCCCCATTGATCTGAAGGAAGCAGTATGTAGTGTGATTTTTGCATCTCCAAGATGTGCAGACGTACCAGAACTTATGGACATTCGCAAGCATTTTTCTGCAAAATATGGGAAGGAGTTCATTCATTCAGCTCTTGAAGTCCGACCAGATTGTGGAGTTAGCCACATGGTACGTTTTTTAGAGATTGCTAGCATTGTGCATCCTTTTTATTGTGAATAAGTCGGCCAGCTTTTACAGTTGTCAATCTCATTCTTGTTTCTTGTGTGTTTGTTTTGTACCACCCCTTCTTGTTCCAATTAGGTTGTTGAAAAGTTATCAGCATGGGCGCCTGATGCTGAAACAAAGATCAAGTCCTTGACAGCAATTGCCCAAGAACATAATGTCAAATGGGATTCAAAAACATTTGAAGAGCAACTCAAGAAGCCACATGATGACCTATTGGTACCAAACTTAAAAGTAGAACACAGTTGTAAATTTTCCTGTTATAAACCTATAGATTAACTTTTCAACTGTGTGGTTGTGCAGAATGGGCCGACTGCCTTTTCTAGTGCCAGCAAGACGCCCAAGGAGTTATCTAGTGTGAAATACTCAACTGCTTCTGCACAAACAGATGAATCAAAAGTTAAAATGCCTCAAGATGACTCTGCAACTAGACCAACAGCATTTAATACCTTTTCTGGGACAACCACTAGAACCAACTCTACAGTACCCTTCACCTTCCAGTCTGACTCAAGAACTTCAGGTATCGTGAGCAAGATATTCTTTTGTATATTGATTTTTGTATTTGAAAAACTGAGTTGCAGCACATACATGCACATATATATGTATACACACATATACATGTATATGCACATATGCATACACACATAGTCTCACGTGTGTGTGGGTGTGTGTAGAGAGAGAGAGGGTTGGTGGGGGGGGGGAGATCATGATTTAACACTAAGTTGTCCTTTTTGTTCTAACACAGAAAGAAAATTGCAAGGCAGCGAAATCAATAATTCATATCCTAGGGAGGATAATGCTTCTATGAATCGGCCAACCTGGAACATGGAATTCGAGGATGCTACTACTGCTGCTCAGGCAGCAGCTGAATCAGCGGAAAAGGCCAGCTTTGCAGCCAGAGCTGCTGCTGAGCTTGCAAGCCGTGGACACATGTCTCGTCAGAATTCTACTGCATCCAATGAATCATCCACATATAGCAAGATATATGAAAGACCAGAAAATTTGAGGGCATTTATGGGTAAAAACACTGCTGATGAGTCTGTATCCAAGGGGAGTGATGAAATTAAAAGCTCGCAAGGGATAAAACCTGAACAGAAACATGTGCAGAAGGACGAGAGAGTGCAAGGGATCTCAAGGAGAGAAGCTGCAAGGACATCTGATAATGATTATCCAACTGGTTTGAGAGCATTCCATCGGTCTTCATTACCTTCCAGTCAGGGTTTTGTTAATGACATTTTGGATAGCAATCGTCAGAAGGATGATCCAGAGGATTATAGTCAGGCTCAAAGGATCTCATTTGCATCAGAAGTTGTGGAGTCTAGTCGCCGGAATATGAGACATGAGAGCGTTGTATCTAGTCAGGAGAACATAAATGTTGACCCGATCAATGAATATCCTTACCATTATGTCAGTGATGAAGAGAAATTATGGAATTCAAATATCTATAGGCATGAAAATGATGAAGGTAAGACTTCTAGAATGAGTTCCTTCGGAAATAATCAAAAGCGATCAACTGCAGGTTATTCTTCTGGAGTTGTTTTTGACTACAGCTTGGATGCTGAAGATAGCAGTACAATTTTTGGGAAAAAGAGAGGAACTTTGTTTGATCAAAGTCAAGGAAAAGAACCGTCTACTTTCCAGTCAGATAAAGTTACTTTCAGTGTAGACCTAAATGGAAGTGGATCCATAGGTAGGAATAGTGGTTCAAAGCTGCATTTATTTACAGAACCGCAGACTGAAGAGCATCTGCGTCCCGAGACAATGACAAAAGGCACTTATCCTCCACAACCAGCTTTTGATGTCTCAGACAGAGAAAATACAGAGAGCGAGGATGAATCTACTTTCAGATCAAATCACACTTATATGCGGAAAACAAATGAAGCTAAAGAGGCCGTTAGAAATTCTGGAGCCTATGATGGAAAAAATGGAACAGTTTCAGATGCTGATGATAAATTCTACAACAGATATGGGGCAGATAGTGTTCCTGATAGTCTTCCATCTCTAAGAAGTGATAAAGCTCCTAGCAATTTAAATCTGTCAGTTCGAACTCCATCTTTTAGCTCAAGTGACGAAGAAGAGCCGCAGCCTTTGCGCTTAACTAAAAGACAGCCAACAAAGAGAACTGAAGCTAAGGAGAAATCAAGAATGCAACCGATACGTTTGGACACTGAAACTTCAGAAATTTCAAATGAGTTCATCAATGAAGGTGGGCAAGGAATAAACTTTGGGAGGTTGACTGTTGGATTTAAACAGAGAAGTTTTCCTCGCCCGCCTTATATTAAGAGCACTGCTGTTGATTCTTCACATTTGTCTGATAAGCAATCGGCAAACTTTCAAGTTGCAGATCAGGAAAGATACAATCAGCAATCATATCCAAGAGCTTATGCATCCAAGTCAAGAACTTCTGGAGTTTCAATAAATTCTCACTCTGAAACTGCAGAAAAACTAGCAGCAAACTGTTCTGCTGAAGATACTTATGACACGGATAAGAGACACTTCGTTCCCCAAAATGCCAAGATTACAGACGTAGATGTTCTGGCTCAGGAGTCATATTATACGAAGTCACGCAGGAAAGGTTACAAGGAAATAAGCTCAAATTTCCAGGGAGATGATCCAGTCGGTAATGAACATACTCATTATGTTAGACGCTACAGTGGAAGTACTTCAAACCAACAACAGCAGAGCATTCATATTTCCCCTGAGGTCGATAAAAAGCAAGTGAAATCTAGTAGGGAGTCAAGCTCAAGGATGGCATACTTAGACTCGGATGCTAGTGAAGCAAAATTGGAGCCAGATTATATTACTGGCAGTAGGGTTGAGCTTTCTCACAGGACAAGGGATGAGCAATCACAGTCTAACAATAGTTTTTCTGGAGTTACTGAACCTCTTTCAAGTACAAATTATGATGCAGTAACAGTTCAAGGGGAGGTAAGTTCTAATAAGCCTGTAAAGAAAAATCCATCATCACCAAAGCAGACATCATCAATCCTTGAGGAACTTTCAAAGTCACAACTTGATGCAACCGATAATGGAGTTCTCAAACACAAAGGGGATACAAAGTATTCTATTTCAAGTGGAGAATCAGTGTCCCGTGAGAGCTCACTCCAAAAGGCTTCTCATACTCATCCAAAGCTTCCTGATTATGATTCTCTTGCTGCTTATTTTCATTCACTGCGAACAAATCGGCGCTAACTATTTAGATATTTCACTTTTTATATTTGCTCTTTTCTTTCATTTCATGTGGCTATAGTTGGGTGATTCATTTGCGAATTATTTCGATTCATTTGAGATGTACAGGATCCTGTCATCTGGTTTTTATGATTGTTCATTAGCTGATGTACATCCTTTTTTCACAGTACCATACGAACCAATAATTTTGTTATTGAAATGAGATTTGTTACCGTGTAGTTTTGCACAGTGTAATATTTAATGCATATAGTAAAGGTAGATCAAAGTATAAAATTGATTATGATAGCCTTGACTGAAGGACCATCACCACTGCAGTTTCTATAGGATCTAAAATTTGCCTAGCCACCAGCTAAGATTGGAATATAAATCACAATCTCTTTCTTTCTTTTTATTTTTCCTTTTTTTAAGAAAATATAAATCAGAACTGTGATGAAATTATTTAGGATCTTCTGTTCCATCCTAATTCCTAAAGAGAGCCTTCAAGCTTTTCTTCATCATGTCTCTATTGACTTGAGTTATAGATATTTTCTTTCATTTGTATATTGGTTCTTGTATGTTTTGTGGTGGTTATGATGATGGAGTTGTGAGAGAGTACTTTTCTTTTCCCTTTTTTGAGTGGGAGAAGTGGGTTCATGCAAAGTATCCAACACTGTAGATAATCCAAAAGCAAACAACAGATACAAAATTCAGTCAGAAGAGTGTGTACAGAAATTGGCGTTCATTAGCGCAATAACGACTTAATGTAGCAATGAAAAGTTTCTTCTTGGATCCCTTCATCATGGATGAAGATGCCAAATGCCAGACTTTCCACAACTGTCATCTATGGATCATTGTTGTGTATTGCTTTTATTGTAGTTTCATACATTATTAGCTTAGTTCCAGAGAGTACATTTACACCATTAATCATCAGTTCAACTATATTTTAAGCATACACTGCTCATCCTCATGTCACAACTTGGTCATGGAGCTGAACAAATCTCTGCTCCTTGCCATCATCCTCCTTTTCTCGTTCTTAACCTCCAGCATCGTCTTCAGTCACAATCATCTTCTGCTGTTAAGTGATGGCAAACACATTCAGACCTACATTTCTTTCCTCATAAAGCCAAAAAGAACTCAGGTATCCTCAACGACGAAGATTTAGTATCGTGGCACAATTCTTTCTTACCAAACACCACCCTGGACTCTGCCAAACCAAGGTTAGTGTACCCTTACTATGGGGTCATCAGTGTCTTTGCTGCAAAAAATACTTGAGATGAAGTTAGGGCAATGTAGTCAATCGAGGGGTTCTTGGCTGCAGAACTGGATAAGCCGGCTAAACTCCATACAACCTATACTCCAAGAATTGTCCGTCTTGAAGGAAACAGCAAAGGGTTAGCTTCGGGCACACTTTGGATCGACTCATTGTGGGGCTCTGGCATCGTCATTGGTGTGATCAATAGCGGTGCTCTACTGACACATATATCCTTCAATGATCAAGATATGTCACCGCCACCTATCAAATGGCAAGGATAAAAATGTGTGCTTTCTAACTTTACATGCAACAACGAGATTAATGCAGGGAAGGTGTATGATGAAAGCAAACATGCCGAACCTGATTCTGATCTTGGAACTCTTTGTGCATGATGCACAAGTTCTCAACAGTTCCAAGGGCAGAGTTAGCGGAATGGCGCCTAAAGTGCATCTTGCAATCTACACGATGAAGGATGCTGCAGATACCGTCAAGGCCATTGATGATGCTATCCTCGATGAAGTCGATATAATCTCAATGTCCCTTGGTTTTGGTATCCAGGACATCCATGATGAGCCCGTGGCGGCAGCTGCATATTTAAGAGCACAGTCTGAAAATGTTGCACCGCGGTACGTGACTGTTGGAGCTGGAACTACCGATAGAAGAATCAAGGCAACTGTAAAGCTAGGGAACGGAACACGATTGATTGGAGAATCGGGTTACCAACCTGAGAATTTCGGTTCCCCTATGTTACTAGTGATATTTCCATTCTTCGAAAACCAATCAAACATTTGCTTGTTCAGATCAGAAGTGACCAAGAGTAAGCTTGACCTTAGGGGAAAGATTGCTCTATGCTTAACTGCTCCCTGATACTAGTAAACGGAGGTTTAAATGAATAGGCGGCGTTTCCAGAACCTCATGTACACCATGGGATTTCATCCTGAATGTGCTTAGTAAGTTGGTCCATAATTAATGCAAAAGATAAGAATTTTATCATACATATCTCTAATCACATGTTTCTCCTTGGTGTAAATATATGGTAATAGGAAATGGTTTAGTCTCTCATTCATTAGTTCTTATTCTAGCTGTTACTCTATCATACATATCTTTAATCACATCAATATATATACTAGATACATAACACCCACCACATTACCTCTCTAGGCACTCTATCATAAGCTTTTTCTAGATCGATAAAAACTATATGTAGACAATTTCTCTTCTCTCTATATCTTTCCACCAAACGTCTCAAGATATGTATAGGTTCCATAGTTGATCTCCCAAGCATAAAATCAAAATGATTTTTAACTATACTTGCCTCTTTTCTTAGTTTTTGCTCAATTACTCTCCCCAAAGTTTCATAGTATGACTCATGAGTTTAATACCTTGATAATTTGAACAACATTGTATATCCCCTTTATTCTTATATATCGGTATCAAAGTACTAATCCTCCACTCATTCGGCATTCTTTTCGTCTCTATAATCTTATTAAATAGTTTAGTTAACCATCCTAAGCCTATATCTCCAAGACATTTTTAAATTTCAATAGGGATATCGTCTAATCCTACGGTTCTTCCACTTTTTATTTTGTTTAGAGCGCGTCTTTAACCTCGCTAATCCTAATTTTTCGGCAATATCTATAGTTCTTATGATTCACTATATGGTCAAAATCTCTATTTTGCTCACTTATTTTGGTTAGCATTAAACAATTGATAAAGGTAACTTATCCACCTCTCTTTTATTTTCCCATCGGTCACTAGAACTATTTAATCCTTACTTTTAATACACCTAATATTACCCAAATCTCTACTCTTCCTTTCTCTAATCTTGGCAAGCTTATGTATATCTTTCTCTCCCTCGTTAGATTCCAACTTCTTATAAAAAATTTCATATGCCTTGTATTTATTCTCACTAATCGCTGTTTTTGCTTCCTTCCTTACTAGTTTATATTTTTTTAAGTTTTTCATACCCCTACACTTTTACCACTCTTTATGTGAACTTTTCCACTCTCTAATAACATTTTGCACACTCTCAACTACTAACTCTCCTTACCGTCTAATCTACAACATTTAGATTCTCCTAGTATATCTTTAGCCACTTTTCTAATACAAGAAGACATACTATTCCACATAATATTAGTCTCGTTATCTATGTTTCATATATCTTCTTTCATTATCTTATCTTTAAAATGTATTAAATTCTCTCCTTTTAAATTTTAACATTTAGTTCTTAGTCTCTTGTTCATATTAGTTTTTCTACTCCGCTTCTTAATAGATATGTATTTGACCATCAATCTACGTTGTGTAATTAAACTCTCTCCTGGTATAGCTTTATAATCTTTGCATATTAACCTATCCGCCATTCTAGTTAGAAAAAAGTCTATTTGACTATTATTAAAACCACTTTTAAATGTCATTAAGTGGTCATCCCTTTTTCTAAAAAGTGTATTTGTTATTATCAAATCATACGATATTGTAAACTCTAAAATTGATTTACCCATATCATTCTTATCTCCATACCCAAAACCTCTATGTATCATCTCATATCCGTTATTATCCTTACCAATATGCCCATTAAGATCCACTCCTATAAAAAATTTCTCTCCAAATGGGATTCCTTGTACTAATTCATCTAATCTATTCCAAAATTTCCTTCTAGTACTCTCGGGCAAGCCTATTTGTGGTGCGTAAGCACTAATAATATTAATAGCATCTACACCTAAGACAACTTTTATTAGTATTATTCTATCTCCAACTCTTCTTACCTCTACAACACTTTCTTTTATTATATTATCTATAAAAACTTCCACTCCATTCCTATTCTTCTATTTTCCCGTGTACCAGAGTTTATAGCCGGTCTTTTCAATTTCTCTAGATTTTTTAACTATCCATTTAGTTTCTTGTAAACAAATTATATTTATTTTTCTTCTAAGCATGACATCCACTAATTCCATAGTCTTTCCGGTAAGTGTACATATATTCCAAGTAGCTATTCTATTCTATTTTCTTGTACAAGTCTTCTACCATTTTCTCTCTTAGATCGTTCTAGTCTATGTCTAATACTATTAGGTAACCTATTAGAGGATTATAGCTTCTTATAACATCCTTGCTTACTTGTCATTCTACCATGGTGACATTAATGTAATGTCATTTTCGGGGGATGCCCTAGCAAACCATCATTGCTTATTTATCATTGCATCGGGGTGGTATCGATGCAACGCGTCGTGGTGGGGACGCCACAATGAGTATATAATAGAAATTTTTTTTCATGTGGATTCGACTATGTTTTATGCTGGTCGTCGCCTACCTAACACAACCTTCCTCATTTATGCTAGCTTGGAACAGACAATGCTGACAATAAACACAGCGCTGACGGATTTTTTTTTAGTAAACCACATGATGAGGAAAAAAAAGAATGTGGAAAAGGAATAGTGTTTGCTATTATTTTCTCAGAAAAACAGAAGCAGCAGTCACGAAATATTTTATTCCAAATAATTTATCTTCCCGCGACTTCTCACTTCAACTTGTCAGAATTGACTCCTTGAGAACATGTCAGCTTTTCAACACTCCAGTAAATATATTTCTTACTTAATAACATTACTGTTTGGTTGGTTTCCTAAAAACCAAGAAAAGGAAATCGGTACAAGGAAATCAATAAAATAATATTTTTATCCATTTCCATCCCTAAACTCATCCACAACATCCAATAAAATATTATTTTTATCCTCCAACTCATCTCATTTCATCTCCTTTCTTACCTTTAAAAATAAATCAAACACAAGAAATGTGTCACATCATCCAACTCATCACATATCATTTTATCTCATTTTTAAAAATCACACACATCATCCAATAATATTGTGACAACTCATCTCATCTCATTAAACATTCCTTTCCACCCATTTCCTCAAAAAAAACAAGAAATTAATTTTCTTAAGTACATGTCACATCATCCAATAATATACCTCCAACTCATCTCATCTCATCTATTTTCTTAT